CCCCCGTGTAAAATGAGTGAAGCTTGAAAAATCATTGCTTGGGTGCTCAGATAACAGAAAATAGTAATCATTTACCCAAGAAGCGGTGGGATCACTACCAGAATGGTTTAATGCCATTAGCTAAAAACTTACAACTACTGATTATTTTAGGTCGCTCCTTCTCTAATTTAGAATTTACATACACAATTTTCTAATTATTAACCGTACAAGTGTGATCCCCCAAAAAAACTCTTGCGTAGTTTATATCTGTGAAAATATACATTTTAGTCCTTAGAGATTCTATATCCCGTTGAGCAACAAAAACTTGTGATATCCCACAAACAAACACTTACTTGTAAAAAAACTACGCCAAGTACAGGAGTGCTATGAATTCCTCTAACAAAAAGTATTGAAATCATATTATTGCGGTCAAGTATATAAGTCATTACATGTTTGCCTATTATATAATCTAGCACTGGCCCATCATTTTAATTGTATGTTCAAAATTTCCTATAATATTTTCGCTACCCTTTTACATTACTACTTCTTTCCATAGTTGATTATGATTTAATGGTCATTTCTTGATATAAATTTGGACCCGCCAAGTAGTACTCGATAAGGAATCACCTAAAGTTTTATTAATTATTAAATGACCATTAAATCATAATCAACTACGGGAAGCAGTAGCAATGTAAAAGAGTAGTAAAAACATTACAGGAAATTTTGAACATACAATTAAAATGATGGGCCACTGCTAGATCATATAACAGGCGAACATGTAATGACTTATATACTTGACCGCAATAATATGATTTCAATACTTTTTGTTAGAGGAATTCATAGCACTCCTGTACTTGGCGTAGTTTTTTTACAAGTAAGTGTTTGTTTGTGGGATATCACAAGTTTTTGTTGCTCAACGGGATATAGAATCTCTAAGGACTAAAATGTATATTTTCACAGATATAAAATGTAAATGCATTGTGATGTCGCTAATCAGAAAAATATATCGCGATTTTGAAAATTTTTAATAGCATATAAATTTAATTTGTAAGTACATTGTTTTAGAAATGCATAAAGGTATATACATGTTTTTAAAGAAAATGTAATCTTGAATGTATATACGCGTCGCTAATGGTGTCCAGCTTGTTGAAGGCATGTGGTAAACGTAAGAGAGGAGAATGTGCTGGATTATTTACGTATCTCAGGCCGTGCGAACAACAGAGAGGATACTATAGTTTGAGCGATGCGCCAAAGCGTCACTCGTTGCACACTTTTCTGGACACTCTGGACTTCTACGTCCGACACCTAGATACAGGAAACTACGGAGAGGAATACCTAGACACCTTGGACTTCCACGACTGACACCTAGATGCAGGAAACTACGAAGCGGAATACCTGGACACCGTGGACTTCCACATCCAACACCTGGACACAGGAAACTACGGAGCGAAATACCTGGACACGCTGGACTTCCACATCCAGTACCTAGATACAAAACAACTATGGAGCGGAACACCTGGATACCCTGGACGTGCGAAGACGACGACGACGACGGACCTGATATAAAATCATCTCGCTCGCCATGTGAATACGTCCTGATCCTGTACACTAATCGTATTGAATTTGGTGGCAATCAATTCAGAACCCTTGATTCCCAGAGTGAATGTATCAATAAATTTTTCTCACATACAGCCGTTCATAAGATATTTGAGTCGAAACACAGGTACAAGAGATGCTTCGAGTAAAGAGTCTCGGCGGTTCGTGCCCTGTACGGCGGGTTGCCTGTACTTGGCACGAGACTCGACCAAGTCTCTTGATTATGGTCTTAACCCCCGCGTCTGCATGCACTAAATAGAAAATTTAATGATGACACTGAAATAAAGAAGAGTAGCATCTTTTATTATATCAGATCCGAAGAGAGAAAAATAGAGAAAAAGGGGGGGGGGGAACGAATATATAATATAATAGAATGAAAGATGAGCTAATAGAAGCCATGCAAATCTGTTAGTATAACTGAAAAAGCTGAACGAGAGACAACAGTAAGATGCGTGTGGGACAAAAGTACAAACCACAAATGAGCTGTGAAAAGCTATGAAATTGAACGAATAAAGTATATGGAGCATTGAACAGTGCGATAGCGGAAAAGCGAGGTGAGGAATATGTTAGAGGAAAATGGGGATGTATCAAATTATTACTGATAGAAATGACAAAGGTATACTTCCATAGTGGTAAATGATCAACGTTTTGATAAAATGTATGTATATTTATTATTTATAATATTTTTAAAACTAATATAGGGTTATTCATCGCAAACGCACTTGCTGAAATTGACCGTGAATGGGTGATTTCATGAATTAGCGCAGGGTGGCATCATTAAATAAATGAAAATAACGTCGTAATATTGCTTTTATCATGAACTTTACATTCTTTCATTTGTTTAATAAGACCACAGTGCCGCCATTATCAGAATTGTTCAATCGCGGCCAACTTCAACTGACGCATTTGCCATGAATAACCCTGCCCTGTATATTCTAATGATTATTGCCACGCCATTTTCTCCTCCTCCTCTGCCTCTGCCTTGGTTAACGAGGAGGGGCGGCCTCGTTACGCATAGAGCGATGGCTCCCATGGCCATGAAGATGTGGCTCTGTTCGCTTCCTCGACCCAGACCTACTGCCTCAATAGGGGAGCAATGGGCAGGCAGTAAAATACGCTTCACGCTGTTGCTGTAAGCAGTAGTAATTATAATTTATTAGCATAATAACAATGGTATGGAATGATATGTCAACAGCATTATAAATGGAAATATTTACTATAAGGTTCAGTAAATAAACTGAGTGTAAATACCGAATGAGTCTAAAAAAGCTGCCATAAATATCGAAAGCTAATCCTGTACTTTCAAACTAGGCAAATAAGAGTCCTAATGAATATGGATCCACAACTCTTCCTTCTTCAGATCCAACATCTAGTTAAATTATTTCATCGTTATACCTATATTATTTGTAATAGATATCTGCGGTAAAATATATGTTATCAGTAATATTTTAAAAAGTAATAGGTTGCCGATTTTTTTGTGATCGGATAGGACTATAAATTTTATGACACCCTTTTCCATAGAGTCACCCTGAATGAAAATATTAGGAAACAACCATATAAGGCAAAGAGGCTGATTAAGAAGGACGCCGCAGGGGGGGCTCTTCTACATTTGCTGCAATCAAAAAAATCACCATTGTTATGATGAGGTTAACAGAAGTGATAATATGTAAGAGATCGCTCGTAAAATTTGCGATACTTATCATGAACGATGGCGGATGGCCCCAGGATGGTTGCTGCAAAAGATACAATAAAAAGGTAAATAATTATTATCACTGTCATGTTAGATAAAAAAGAAATACAATATACTAACCATAAAGTAAGGCCACATAATAAAAGAATAATAAAAAAGAACTACCCAATATGATATAAATTAGGGCTGGTAATTATTCGATTAAGATAGTTCCATCGGTACACGTACGAACCAAAAGTATCGACTGCATCGTATAGTAAAATTGTGATCAAACCCCACCCTCATATAATGTTATCGTATGAAAACTTTTGATAAATCTTGTACAGTCCGCATCTCCTCACACAGAAACACCTCATGCATGAACAAGTCTTCCACGCGTATAGAGTGCGTCGCTATAATCGTGGTAACAGCGCAATTCCCTTCTGATAGCTAGTGTAGATACGTAGTGTTTGATATTGATTTTGTATTCGAATCAAAATAAAATGTCAGATCGAATACGGTATAAAGGTCGATTTATACAGGAAAAAAAAACCAGCGAGAAGCAGCTGAAGTGTCTCAAATAAACCACGTGTTAGCAAAGCGAAAAAAGTCATTGATGACATAATTACATATTTGAAAAGCAAGCATTAATTTTAAGATTAGCTATTCGCGATTGTTGTTTCACCAGTTTTAAATCTATTGTAGTTTTATAACCTGTTGACCTGTTTAATATATTTTATTAGTTAAATAAGTTTCATTCAAAATAATCATTTCAACTCATTCCCAGAATACTAGAATTCAGGAAATAGTAAGATTTAAACGTATTAGTTTTGGCACGCAGTTACCAGTTAGCTGTTTCGTACACTGTTACCGCTTCGTCATAGCTGATCATCGCCGTATTCTGGTTCGAATGTAATTTATATTTTTTGTGCGATGATATCTCCGAAACTAAGTAGTCAAACATCGTCATTTTTTCAGAATAATCCCATAATACTATTTTACACCCCACTGTTTTTATTTGGAAATGGTAAGAGTCGTTTAGCTGTTATAATACAAAACGTGTTAGAAGTTGTATCCTTTCGCGTGTTAGTGCAATTTTTAAAGGCAACTATCTACTTAACTAAATGGTGGATCAAATTTACAATTTGGGAATCGATTCATAGTAATTGCGTCTACAAAATACTATAATTTCAGAAGATTTGTAAATAATGTGAAAAACGATAGAAGTACCTTAAACAGAAAAACTAATAACCCGATTCGCTGATCGATCGATTAATCGACTAGCCCTAATTGAATTTTTTGTTAAAAACCGGGAGTAGGACCTCTACAGGTCCTTGGACTAGGCTTGGCGCTTGTCGAGGTCTCTGCGTGGGAGTCGCCGAAATGGTAAGTAGCGGGCAGCCCTTGCAGCGCAACTATGCCATCCAGCATTATCATTCACCTGTAAAGCAATAAATACGATATTACGGAATGGACTTGATAAAGGAAAATACAATAATTAATAATTGCTACCAGTAACATTGACTTACGTAACCTTCTCGTGAGAACTTATTATTGAATCTGAAACAAAGAATAGCATTTACTGTCACTGATAGAATTGTAATTTACAAGAGGAATTTGCTGTAGTTAAATAGCGAAATAGGATAGCTGGGAGTATAATACGAGGTCTTCAAGACCCGAATGTCATATGATTTTCCCGAAGAACACATTATACTCGTGGAGTGCTATTTCATTCATCCCGCATGAAATCCGTGATATGAAGAAATTTCTCTCCTACACACACTACTTTGTCGTGCGACGGTTTCCATGTCATATGAAAAAGCGATCCTACACATACCGTGTATCTATCGTACGACATACATACAATGTTATCTCGTATATGCAATGTAATTTCCACCAGGTTCAATTGCAATTATATTATATTAAATTGTCGAAAAAAAAAGCATATTTTGATTAATTGGTGACGTGTGATGCCAAAGCCTTCATGTCATACCGTACTAGATAACTTGACACATAATGTTCCTCGGGCACACTAAATATCTAAAGGAGGTTATACGACAGAAAAATCTTATTCATGTGTACAAGATTTTAGTAATACGCCTTACATTTTATGTCATATAAAGCATTTACAGTGCATGTGGATTCAGCATAACGAGACACTGTTGCACATGTCACTTCAGAACAAAAGTCTTTATGTGGCGTAAAAATTACATTGATAGATCCTATAGGATAACAATTTGATTATCAATGATAAGAAGAGATACAAAGGAACGTTTTAATCGTGAAAATGGAGACATCTATGAACATAGTAATACACCCGTTCCTCAATTTACGCGGCACTTTTTTTACGCGAGTATTTGTTTTACGCGGCAAATTTACCTCAATTTACGCGAACCTTTTCATACGCGAAATTGATTTACGCGATCTTATTTTACGCAGTCAGATATGTATATACATACATATTTTCCTATAAGTTTTAAAATTGACAGTTTTATAGAATCAGTATTGTGAGATCGGTTGTTGGAACGCGTGACGCAGAAAGGAACTTTGTTGCGTTAGGGTCGCACAGGCGTTGTCTTTGGCCGCTGGGCCGTAATGCGAAAGCGAACAGTGTGAGTTTGGAAGTTGAGAGGACGACATTGTTACTACATTGTTTAGATTTACGAGCTTTTATCTTCAATATTTTTCCTTTTATACTTACATATTCAATTTACACGATTTTTATTCACACAAATCAAGTCCACGTGGAACGGATATAAGCGTAAATTGAGGAACAAGTTTAGTTACAATGGAGACAATGACAGCTCGGTACTTACATTCGCTCGGGTTATCCAACTGAAATGGTCACATGACATGTTGCACTCGCGAGGCTAGGGATGAGCAGGTGACAGTGGCACTCGCGCTTTTCAATCGCAACACAAGAACTTGGCACCAATTTCCATCGCGTGACGTAACTTGCTCTTTATACGTTGTAACGTGATTCTTCAGAATCGCGCCACAAAATTTAATAAATTTCATTTTCTCGCTCAACCTAGGCTCCGCACGACAACCCATTAGCGAAATTCCGTATAAACCATTATTCTTAAGGTTTCCGTTTGTGAACGTCTATTATCGTCCTTTTTGTCATTTCAGGTCTCGTTTCATATTACTGATTGAGTTTTTGCTTTTTTTAAGCTTTAATCAATCTCAACTCTCGAGTCTCTCTACAACGGCATAAGGGCAAGGACCGGACATCATCATTGTGGAGTTTGAGGGTTTTGTAGCGATTACGTTTGACTGTCGATGCTGATTTTGAGAATTTTGAGTGAAGGACAAGTTGGAGGGATCAGCACGCCGCTCCCACCAACCAAGATGTGCCCGCCGGTTCCGCCGACCTCGATGTCGCCGGAATCCTGCTGCTGCCGTTACGCCGAAGAAGCCATGGAGCACCCGGGAGGGGATTCCGCCGTTTCCGTCGGCCGGGAAGGACTGCCCTCTGGGCCTATCCGCCGCCGATATGGCCGACAGGGAGATGATGAGGTTTTCCTCCCTGGCCCGCCTAAAGCTTGCCGATTGCCTACGATAGTGCCTCCGTCCGGCTGAGAAGCCGTCTAAGTATCCTCGACCCGCCAGGCCCAGCGAGTTTAGAGGGCCGTGTCCACAGGATCGACGCTCGTTTTCACTCGGCCGATTCCGCCGTTGCGCATCGACGCTCGGGAAAGCTCGGCTACCCTGGTCAACGTTCGTCTCGTTCCGGTGCCGTCCCGCCTCACCTGTGCCCGAAGATGTTGCCGAAGATCATCAATCGATAATTCACTGTCGTGCGAAGTGCGGAAGAAAGCTCACGTTGGAAATATTGCGAACCGAGACGAAAGAAAGAGAGATAAAGAGTGAGAGAGATATATATATATATAGAGAGCGAATATTGCCTTGAGGACTGATTATATTGAGCTTTACGCTTTACTTTTCTATTTTGTGGTGAGATCAATCGCTTTTCTTAATATTTTCTGATTTTTGTTTATTGAAGATTATAGACACGTACACGGCTAAACCGTTCGTTTCACCGGTGACGAATTTTTCCTTGTCGTTTTCGGGCGAATGTCTTTCCGCCGATTATAGTATAAAGGACGATAGTGCCGTTATAATTTATATTCTTGAGTTTCCGATTTTGAGCTTTTCTTATATGATTTGTGATTTCTATTTTTTCTGTGATTAACGAATTTTCTGGAATCTTCGCCTAGTGTACACGTGGGAATCTGCCTGCCAGAGTGTTCGACCCTGAGTTGACCGACTTGGTCGTTCGACAGCCAGATTCTCCCGCTGCCTAGTTATATTCTCTTGCCGATTATTATAAGATATCGTTTACCGTCAATTTATTATTCTTTTGACTCTGCAAAAGTACTGTGAGATTTCCGAACCCTAAGTTCTGTAAAATTTAGTGGCGAGCCCACACCGTCTTTATTCTGAATAAGTGGAATCGTATTGTTTCTCCTATTTTCCTCTTTCGAACTGGGATAAGTTAAATTGAATTCTTTTCTTTTTGGCTAAACTTTCTTTGATTTTGTTGAAGTGTGAATCCGAATTTAATATTCGTACTTTTGTATACAATATCTTCCGTTCTTATTTCTGTGATTTATTGCTAGTATACCGTATCTGATTATCGTTGCCGAACATTATTGTAATTTCGCCTTTATATTCCCTGTGAAATCTCTGTGAATATTGCGTATTGCGAACGTCCTTCTGAAGTCGCGCGCTAGCCGCTCTCCGAGGTGACCTTCCTTGTTGACGTTCCTCGACTTCGCGCCTTCGGCCGATTTCGGAATTGTACTACCCGTTCCGAGAACGTCTTACCGCTGCAACGATAATTAAATACTCGTTATACTATTTTATATTTTTTCTGACTGTGATTTCTGAGTGTAATAGAAAATACACAAGAGTATTTCTTTAATTTTGTAATGTACGCTCTCTATCTCTTTTAAGGCCCGCCTCGACGAGATGTACAAGATCTAGTTTTTTTTTTCCTACACCAATGAATAAATACTTTTTTCATTGAATATCGTATTTTGTTCTTTTCATCCACAAATAAAATAACAAGTTATGGGCCCAGGTTCGCAGTGAAAAAATTGAAAAGTGACTTAAAAAATAAAAGGACAGAATGGAAAGTGAAACAATCAAAATAAACAGTTTAAAGGTAGTGAAAACTAGAGTGTGTGGAAATTCCAACTTCAAATAAATTTTGTGACAAAAGGAATTTACGTAATCATCACAGGAAAAACCGAAAAGCCAGTGGCACCGACTGCAGAAGAAAAAGCAGCGGATGCTCAAAAGAAATCCACGTACCTGAAGGAACTTAGTGAGTGGATAAAAAATGACGGCATCGCTCAAAAGTACATTGCGAAGACAGTATGCTAATAACAAAAATCATAATGACTCTTCCAGAGCAATGCAACTATTTCGTCTCAGCTTGGGAGTCAACTGGAAATGAACAAAAAAATCATTGACAATTTAACGGCTCGGTTAGCGATAGAAGAATCACGCAGAAAAGTTCAAGAAAAGAACCAAGATGTTGCTCTATTGACAAAAAAGGTTATAAAGTTTTATCCCACCAATAACCAGACAAATAAAAGTGAAAATTCAAAAGGTGACCGTGTATCTAACCCTAATACCAAAAACGTTGAATGTTTTAACTGTAAAAAGAGAGGACAGTTTAAAAAAGATTTTTGGTTAATGAAATGGAACGAGCATAAACGACCATCTTCGACTTTCCCGAAAAGCGGCAGATCAAGCAGCAATGACGAAGACCACGCTCTCGTCGGCGAAATTCTGCTAACCGTGAATCCAAACGTAAATACGTCGACCTGGCTACTCTACTCTGGAGCAACGTCTCATATGTGTGGAAGCAGACTGTTGTTCACCGACTACACACCTTTAACACGTTCGTCGCTCAGCGCGATTCGGCTGAGTTTCAACCGGGGCCCAAATCCGACTGTCGGAGCGCCGAAACATAAACAGAGCGATACATAAACGTAACATAAACACTCGAGTAACGTTTTCGAATCTTCGATTCATAACAAACTATTTAGTTCTAAAATGGGGAGAACGATAAGGTTTTCAGCTAGAGGACTGTCTGGGATCTCACAAAATGTTCATTGGACGGCGTAAAAATATAATTGAAAGTGAGGAGAGTAGTGGTGACGAAGTAGTGAGTTTTAGAAAAAAAAGTGCTAAATAGAATTTCATCGAGTTCAAGCTCTAATACTGAGTAATCATATGCAAGTGAAGACCTTGATGACATGTTAGAAGCACTTGCTGTGGACGAAGAAGAGGAGCTGAACTCTGTTGCTGATTCATTGGACCATATCCAGTGGAACGAATTTTCTAACAGGCAACAATCATTTACGTTCACCGGAAAAAGTGGCCTTCTCATGGATTTGCCGTCTGACATTCGGGCAAGTGAAGTATTTACGCTTTTCTTGAATGAAAAGCTGATAAGCCTTTTAGTCACGGAGACCAACAGATATGCAGAGCAAAAATTGCAACAAGAAATGACTGAACATGCTCGATTGAACAGGTGGAAACCCACCAATTCTGCAGAAATAAATAAATTTATAGAACTGATGATTTGGATGGGTCTGGTACAGACACCGCTCGTTAGATGTTGATCAACGGACCCGATCTACAACTTCCCATTTCCGCGCAGCAAGATGTCCCGTAATCGTTTTGAGTTACTGTTAGCAAACTTGCATTTTGCAAATAACGAAACGATAGAAGAGGGTAGCAGACTCGGAAAAGTTTTGCCACTCCTCAACTTATTGGTAGATAATTACCAGAAAGTCTTTTCACCAGGTGAAGATATTGTAATAGACGAATCAATGGTTCCTTGGAGGGGACGACTTATATTCAGGCAGTATATCACAACGAAATCCCATAAATATGGTATAAAACTGTTCAAATTGTGCTCCACCGAAGGATATACATGGTCGACGAAAGCATATTCTGGACGAGATATCAGCAGAAGAAGGCAAGTTGGCCTAGCGGAAAAAGTCTGCATTGAACTAGCAGATAAATTGATAAATGAGGGACGAACTTTGTTTGTCGACAACTTTTATACCAGTTATGAATTAGCACTAAAATTTTTACAATTCAAGACGCATGTCGTTGGGACTGTGCGGTATAACAAAAAATTTATGCCACATTTTGTAATGTCGTACCCACTGAAGAGAGGTGATATGGTATCAAGAGAAGACGACAACGGTATTTTGGTGCTAAAGTGGAGGGACGTTCGCGATGTTAGGATGTTATCAACAAAACATCCACCTATCATGACATCAACCACGGATTCTACTCATCGCGGACGTCCTTCTAAACAGAAACCTTTGGCGGTACTTGCTTATAACAATGGAAAAACTGGCATCGACAGGAGCGACCAGATGGTGTCATATGCCACAACGATACGGAAAAGTATCAAGTGGTATCGCAAATTAGCATTGCATTTGTTTTTGGGTACCAGTGTAGTAAATGCTCACATCGTATACCAGAGAATAAAAAATAAAAAAATTGAAATAAGAAAATTTCGAGAGCTGCTTGTTGCCGAATGGTTGTCCCCGGAAAATTCTACGCTCGATGAAAATAGGACTAAAACAAGAAACGTGACCCATAAGCTGGAGATTCGTACGAATCAGCAGGGCAAGCCTATAAGAAGGACGTGCGCCCTATGTTACCGGGAAAGGAGGCAAACTGCTGAACGACAAGAAGTAAAAAAAAAATGTAAAAAAAACTACGACCTATTGTTCCAATTGTCCGAATTCACCACAAATGTGTTTACAATGTTTCAACACACACCATACGACATAGTATGTATAATGCAATATGTTATCTTAAATATAAATTAGTAAAAAGTATAGTATAATATGTATATTTTTAGTATTTTTTATGTTGTATATCTTATATTTCAGTACTGATTCCATTAAATTCGTTTTAAAAAGCCACCTGAAAGTCGTATTAACTTGAATAAGAAGAGCGTCACCCATACTTGGGTGACAGGGCTCCCACGGAAGCATACCCGTCACCCAGATCTGGGTGACGCGGCGACGAACGTGTTAAAGGACAAGATTCAAGATTCCACTTATTTTCGATGGGTGCTGGTTTAGCTAAGGGAATTCATTGCGAATCGACGAATTTTAAATGCACGTTTTATAAAAATGATACGATCGTAGCTTTATCTGAAAGATCGTCAGAAAGGAATTTATTTAAAATGCAATTTAGATTAACAAATAATACTGAAAAGTGTTATGTCGTTAGTTCATTAGAAAATAAAAATGTTTCTCCTGAAAATAAAATCCATAGCAATATAAACTGTGACGTTAATTTTTAACGCCACAAAAGTCTCGATGTGGTACTCGCGTGCTCTTGATCACGGGACGCAGTACCGTCCCTCGGGAGAGATAATATCCGACTGTACCGGCCAAGAACTCCAGGGTCCCGATTAATAAATATAATGAGGTTAGACTGATTGTTTTTGTATACAATAACTTTCATGCGATACGTCGAGCCAACTTAACGCCGAGGAAGCAACCAGCAGAGAGAAGTCATCCTCTCTAGTATCGTCGGAGGAAAGCAGTCGAAGGTTACGCTAGAGAGCGTGGAAGAACGCCAACGTCAGCAGGTGCCTCTGCCCCGTTACGCCCGGTCCCGAATAAAGTAGGGAGCCGAGGTGCGGAGAACATCGCCATGGACTACATCACGTCTCGTCAATCCCGATACCGGTGCCCAGCTAAAGGCACCCGTATCGAAGAGGGAGCTTAGGGAGCTACCCTAGGCCGAGGGATCGCGACCTCCGCCACTGCCACGTCCCACTGCAACCCAGGACCGGACTGCAGCATCTCCCCGTCACTACCTGGACGCCAAGAAACGGCAAGGAGCCCCGTCGAGCGTCCGCACGTTCCGAATCTCGCGAAAAAGCGACGTACGCCCTTGTATCGCGTGTAGACTTTAAGGGAACATAGAATTTGCGTACCATCCTTCCCAGTATCATAGTTATACGACTTGTTGGAGGCCCTGGTTAAATCTCTACTCTATTATGGAGCATCTCGCGTCGGGTAGTTGACGTATTATTTTTGTAGTATTCCATAATTATCGAATTAGTTCATAGCCATGTTTTGAATATTTGTGCGTAAGCCCTGATTGGCTGCAATAATCCGCGTAGGCGATTGGCCCATTGGGCCCAACTAGACTTACCGCGAGGGAGCTAGCCCCGACCGGTAAGACGACGAACCCTCGAGCGTCAGTCTTGCATCGGCAGCAGTCTTGGCCGGTGGTTCCGTTGAAGTTACAAAGTCACAAAAGAAGAACGTATCGTTGGTTCCAGAACTTGTATCGTTCACGGTAAGCGTCTCGACGCCCAAAAGGACGAAATCTTTATTAATCTCTGCGTAGTTGACCTTAGTCCCTTTATAGTCTCGTAATTATCCTCCCGGTTTCGACTGAGGAGAAGATCGCGTTTCGCCAGAGGAAAAGATTCCGTGCCTTAGCGTGAACTTTTATATATTATCTCTTATTAAGCGTGTTTATTATCCACGTTCTCGCTGACCTTGGATCGTGATCGTGAGAACCCATGAACTACGCTTCCCATACGTTCATGAAATTGAACCTCTAATTAATTATTTGACGACATTATCTTGAACCTGTTTCTTTTGGATATTACTTTTTCTATGTTGTATAGCCTCTTACGCTTTCTACTCTATACAATTCTGTGTGTAACCTTCCTACTCGCGTGATACTGGTACTCGAAAGTTCTAATTAACAATATCTGCAGAAACCATACTACGCCTACCATTCGTTCGTCTGTCTAGTTCGCGCGTTGCGTGAACCGTGCAGAACGTGTCGTGAATTCACAGCCGCGAATAGCTGAATTCCTGTGTTTCTCTTAGCACGACGAACTGTATCGCGAGAGCACATCGTTGTCTCGAGACCTGTGGGTCACGGGATTAGAGTGTATCATAGGCCGAATTATTTCTCTTTGTTTCACGTGTCTCGCAAGGACCCTTTTGGCTAGCGTGTAAATTTGGTCTTATCGTATTTTGTTCGCGTGTCCCGTATAAGACCTCGTCCCGCGCGATATCGTATTAATGTCTAGTTCGCGCGTTGCGTGAACCGTGCAGAACGTGTCGTGAATTCACAGCCGCGAATAGCTGAATTCCTGTGTTTCTCTTAGCACGACGAACTGTATCGCGAGAGCACATCGTTGTCTCGAGACCTGTGGGTCACGGGATTAGAGTGTATCATAGGCCGAATTATTTCTCTTTGTTTCACGTGTCTCGCAAGGACCCTTTTGGCTAGCGTGTAAATTTGGTCTTATCGTATTTTGTTCGCGTGTCCCGTATAAGACCTCGTCCCGCGCGATATCGTATTAATAATTATTTATATTCGCAATTGGTTATTTGATTTGTTAATTGTTGATTTAATAAGTCCCAATAAAAGGGCCCCTTGTTATTTGTTACTTGTTACTTGTTATTTGTTACTTGTTATTTGTGTCGCGATTTCTCAATCTGCTTTCCCATCGTTGTCTCGAGACCTGTGGGTCACGGGATTAGAGTGTATCATAGGCCGAATTATTTCTCTTTGTTTCACGTGTCTCGCAAGGACCCTTTTGGCTAGCGTGTAAATTTGGTCTTATCGTATTTTGTTCGCGTGTCCCGTATAAGACCTCGTCCCGCGCGATATCGTATTAATAATTATTTATATTCGCAATTGGTTATTTGATTTGTTAATTGTTGATTTAATAAGTCCCAATAAAAGGGCCCCTTGTTATTTGTTACTTGTTACTTGTTATTTGTTACTTGTTATTTGTGTCGCGATTTCTCAATCTGCTTTCCTTACCACCTGTGCGTTCCCCGCCCCTCTACCATACCTTTCCGTTTCTTTCCTACTAGCCGGAGTCCTCTTAATTTTTCTCGGGAGTTTCGTGTGTTATGTGACGCAACGCTGCGTCTGGCGCCTATTTGGCTTTTCTATTGTAGAGATTTCCTCCTTGCGTTTTCTCGGGAAAACTTTAGAGTCTCCTCCCTTACATTTGTGGTGCGATCGGATCGTCTTGCTACGAGGCGGTTTGAGGGAGAAAAATCTCGTCACAAAACATAAACATGTTGCAAATCTGGCATGAACGTTTGGCGCATCAAAACATACAACATGTAAAAAGATTTTTAACTCAAAACAACATCGAAATAAATGACTCAGCTCCTTTATGCGACGCGTGCGCGTTAGGCAAAATGCATCGTTTAGCGTTTATGCAAAGTAAATCGGAAACAAACAGAGTTGGCGAATTGATTCATGCTGATCTACGTGGGCCAATGAAAGTAAACTCCTTAGCAAACTCGAGATACTTTCTTGAATTTAAGGACCATTTTCCTAGCCTGGTAAAGGTTTATTTTATTAAAAATTAAAATGAAGTAAAAGACTGTTTTCAAAATTTCATTCTAAGAGTAGAAAACGAGACTGGTAATAAGATAAATATTTTACGAATGGATAACGGTCTAGAATTTATAAATAAAGAAATGACAGAATTAACAAACATGGCATTAAATACGAACGTACGGTTAGTTATATTCCGGAACAAAATGAAAAAGCGGAAAGAGAAAATAGAACCCTCATAGAATTGGCACGA